CCATGGGAACGCGCCGCGGGAACCCGGGCGACCCCAGCCGGGGGGGGGGTGTGGAAGGCTGGGCACGCCCCGGGCCCGCCCGCGCCCTCCCAGTGGGTGCGGCCCGTGGGGTGGAAGAAGTGAGTAGGGGAGGAGGAGGAGAGCGCGCAGGGCTACGTCGCTGTGAGAGGGCAGGGCCGGGCTGCCGCCGGCGTCCCAGGGCTCCAGGCAGGGCAGCCACCGGCTCCAGTTGTTGCTAATAAGATGCAAATGAACGGCGAAGGGAGGGCTTTTGAGAACCGAGGCCCAGCTGTCAGGAGAAGGGGCTTTCCGGGCTGGCCCCAGCCCCAGGCAGGAGCCCGGAGGGGAAAACGAGACCCTTAGGGTCGTAGACTCTGGGAAGGATGTGATGTCCCTGTAGTTCTGATGACAAACACAGTCACAAAGCATAAAAAAGCATTAAGAGAGTTCAGTAAAGGTTTCATTTTGTGTATCATGAAGATTTAAGTGCTTTTTTAAAAACTGCTTGTTTGTAAAGACTTAAATGGAAGACTTGAAACTGTAAACCTCCTAGAAGAAAACATGAGGGCAAGTCTCCTTTGCACTGGTCTTGGCAATGAATTTTTGGACAAAATACCAACACAAGCAAAAATAAACAAGTGGGCCTGCATCAAACCAAAGAGCTTCTACAGGGTGAAGGAAGCAGCCCACAGAACAAATATGGCAGCTGTGGATAGGAGAACACATTGCAAATCACACATCTGGTGAGAAGTTAATATCCAAGATATGTGAGGAACTTGGGCAACTCAATAGCAAAAAAACAAATAGCTCCATTAAAAAATACGCGAAAGAACCTGAATAGACATTTTTCCGAAGAAGACATACAGAAAGCTAACAGGTGTGTGCAGAGGTGCTCAACGTAACTCCTCATCAGGGACCTGCAAATCAAAACCACTGTCAGTTGTCACCTCACACCTGTCAGGATAGCTGTTACCAAAAAGGCAAGACAGCCGCGGTGGCTCGCGTCTGTCATCCCAGCATTTTGGGAGGTCGAGGCAGGAGGATCACTTGAATCCAGGATAGTGAGACCTCGTCTCTACTTAAAAAAAAAGTAGGGGGTGTGGAGCAAGAGATCACAAGTGCTGATGAGGATGTGAAAAAGGGAGCCCTCAGCCGGGCTCGGTGGCTCAGCCGGTAATCCCGCACCTTTGGGAGGCTGAGGTGAGTGGATTGCCTGAGCCCGCGGGTTCGAGACCCGCCTGGGCAACTTGGCGAGACCTCATCTCTACAATAAATTAAAAAATCAGCCGGGCGTGGTGACGCATGCCTGTAATTCCGGCTACTCGGAAGGCTGAGGCGGAAGGATCGCCAGAGCCCAGCAGGTCGAGGCTGCGGTGGCCGGGAGCGGCCACTGCACTTCAGTCTGGGCGACAGAGTGAGACTCCAACTCAAAAAAAGAAGAAAAAGGGAGCCCTCATACACTGTTGGAAAACAGTATGGGGGACCAATTTTTTCTCAAAAACTTGAAAATAAAACTACCATATGATCCAGCAATCCCAAGACATGAATCAGGCTGAGCGTCCATGGAGGATGAAGGAACGGGTAAAGAAAATTTCACACATATATATATATACACACAATTATATCTATCTTATACACTGTATACCTATAGACAGCAGAATATTATTAAGCCATTACAAACAAGGAAATCCTGCCACTTGTGACAATGTGGAGGAGGCTGGAGGACATAATGCTAGGTGACATAAGCCAGACACAAGAAGACAAATGCTGTGTGATCTGACTTACATGTGGACTCCAAGTTGAATTCACAGAGATGGGGGTCTCACTATGTTGCCCAGGCTGGTCTCAAATGGGCTTCAAGTGATCCTCCCGCCTTGGCCTCCCGAGTTGCTGGGATCACAGGCAGGAGCCATCACGCCTGGTCCAAACTCATAGATGTAGAGAGTAGAATGGTGATTGCCTGGGGCTGGGAAGAGGGAAATGAGGAGATCTTGATCAAAGGGTATGAGCTTTTGGTTTTCAGCTGAGTGGTTCTGGGGTCTGATGTCCCGCAGGTGACTGTAGTCAGTGATGCTGTATTGTTAGGTTGGAAATGTGATAAGAGCAGGTCTTAAGTGTCCTCACCCCACACACGGTGACTGCTTGAGGTGATGGGTGTGTTAATTAACTTGATCGTGGTCATGATCTCACAGTGTACATGTGTGTCAAGTCATCATGTGGTACACTTGAAATAGATACAATTTTTGTCATTAGAATGCCATAACATTGGAAATAGCTATCGATATCTATCTATCTATGTCTCTAGCATCTATTTCTATCATCTATCTTTATCTCTATCTACCTATATCTATCTATATTTCTCTATCTCTATCTACCTACCTACCTATATCTCTCTATCTATCTCTATCCCTAGCTGCCTATCTCTATTTATCTATCTATCTATCTATCTTTCAAGTTGGTGCTAATGAAATGCAAATGAAAGGCAAAGGGAGGACTTCTGAGAACCAAGGCCCAGCTGTCAGGCTTCTAGTTCTATCTCTCTCTATATATATATCTATGTATCTATCATCTATCCACGATCTCTATCTATCTCTATGTCTATATCTATCTCTACCTATCTATATCTATACCTGTATTCATCTCTCTATATCTATTTCTCTATATCTATCATCTATCTATATCTATGTCTATATCTATCTATTTCTACCTATCTCCATCTATCTATATCTATCTACCTACCTATCTCTGTCTTTACCTATCATCTATCCATCTATCTCTATCATTTATCAATCTACACACCTCCCTACCTATCTATAATTTCACATTCTTTCCAAACATTTTTTCTCACTTCCTTGTGTTCTGGTGCCCTGAGCTTAGCCTTCTGCTTGGTTTCCCGCCCTCTGCCACCCCCTGCTGCCTCCCCCAGACTGGGGTGAACCTGGGACCCCTGTCTCAGTCGGGCTTCGTCTATCTCTGAGTTTGCTGCAGGCCCATAGTTGGGGGGGGTGAGGTTCAGGCCTGAGAGTACCCGGGGCCATTCACTCAGCCCTGGAAGGAGCTGAAGAGGGTTCAGACGCCCCTTGTCTGGGTACTTCACCCCCTCCGCAGGCCCTGCCTCAATCCAACCTGGTAACAAGTGCCTCCTCCAGTTGAAACTGTTCCAGGTCCGCTCAGCTCTCCCACAGTTCTGCCACGCTGTCTAAACCATGGATCTGCTTCTAATCTCACCGTCTTTCCCACTGAGGCTTTCCCCAGTGACCGCCGTGACTGACCCTCTGCCCCATGGCCACTGGTCTCACGCAACCTCTCAGGGGCACTCTCCTCACTCTCCTTGAAACCTGGTCTCCTCTGCCAAGACCCCCGCCTTCCCATTCCTCTGGCCCCCCTCTTGATCCCTTGGCATTGGACATTGACTCGTCTCAGGTTTCGACCCTAGGTGGTTCTTCCTTCTCTAGACTGTGCTCTCCCCCCATGTGACCCCTGCCCATCCTGGCGTC